CGCATGTCGCAGTCCTGGGAGGACCTCTCCTTGGTATGTTCCAATCCCCAGCCAGTCGTGGAACTTAGACCTCCCCATGGTCATTCTGCAAGGGAAAGGGATTGTATTGCCTCCAAGAAGAGCATTCCTGAAGTTGACGAGCATCCAGTTGTCCCTTCATTACCAGTTTTATAGTTATGGCAGCTTTGCCCATGAAAATTTTCATGTGTAGTAATTATTTGCTTGTTATATGTTTCATAAAATCCAATATGAATTTCTTTTTGTAGATTCTCATAGTTTTGTATTATTTTTGGAACTGTTAATTATACAAAAAAAATTACAAAAGAAGTTACTGACTTTTACCATTGGAATACTTATAAAATAAGCTATAATTGGTTGGTTTTGCATGGGTGAATGCTTTGTAGGGAAAACATATGATATGTGCTTAAAACATGGCATTAGATTTTGAAATATCTTCATGAACTTCATGAAATTTCATGAAATGATATTTCACGAATAAGTGAGGCCTTTAGCCCGAATAAATCTTCGCATGCTCTACTGATAATCCAGTCTTTGTGTCTAATACAACTGAAATCTTTCTTTTTTAGATTCCAAATGTTTTGAGATTGTCTTCCTTTTCTTTCCATTTTTCTTGAATATTACTTCACGTTCTATGTTGCTTTTTCCTGTGGAAGGTGAATCCCATAATATTTGCATTTTAACTTGAGAATCAATTTTATGGTGTTGTTGCAGAAGTGAATTTTTGTTTGTTTAATTGGTAGCATTCTTGACAATTTAACTGAATTTTATTGTGAATGTTTTTTTTGCATTTTTACTTTTCTTGAACTTATATTGCAAGAAATGATAACATATCTTGCAATGTTTTAGTGGGCCTTTATAGTTTTTCTATGTGGTGTGCAGGCTGAAAACTTGGAAGGGAGTAAGTCAGGTCGAAAGTCCCTAACGGACCCGCTGCACCTGAACATTGGGTCGTCCGGGTGGTCCAGCGGGGGCGGGAGCGGGCAGAGTTCTCCCTCGCAGCGCATGCCGCCTGCAGCGGCTGCGATCGGGGTGGGCCAGCGGCCACTGTCGTACAGCCCCGCCCCTTATTACCCGATCCGGTCGATCAACTTCTCTCCGAGCTCCTCGCCATCTCCCACGCGGAAGTCCTTCACGCCGGGGTGAGTCTTGTGCTGGTGACGGTCAGACTCCTCGGATTTGGAGTTGGTCGGAGTTGTAGGTCCCTGTGAGGCAATGAGCTGGGATCAAATCGTAAATTTATTTACGAGTATCTGAGTATAATTTTTTGCTGAAGGAATTCTTGAAAGTTCTGAAATATTTTGCTTTTAAAAATTAATTGTATTTTATTTTGGTTTAACCCTTTCCAGTCCACTGGTGAACCAGGTTCGCCAAATCTCTCTAGCTTTGCAAATAAAATGGACCACAAAGGGTTGAATGATTCCTCTCCTATAGCTCTGAACAGCCATATTTTTTAAAACCAATAATTAATTGCAGCAGGCACACCAAGCAAGTTAGAGTAAATGCTCTGATTCTGGTTCATGTTTCCCCTGAATACAGAATCCAGTATTCAAGAGCCTTTATTCATCCAGAGTCTTTAGAGACAAAAAATCTTATAAATCTACAAATACAAGTTCTGTCACATATAATTACTGAATCAAATTTGCTCTTTGGAAACTATTTGCTGATTCATGATTTTAGTTGCATCATACTGCAGTCCAGATTTGATTGTCTGTGACCTGTATTTCCCTTCACTGAGTTCTGTTTCACTGTATTATTCAAAAATGTATAATACAATGGTATTATTTTCTTGGATTCTCTCAACTTGAAGAATTTGTTTATTTCTTTGCAGCATTCTAAGAGGTTTTGTCCTGCCTGTAGAATTTGCTGTACCCTGTCCTTAATAACAGATCCTGATCCTTCCTCCTCTAAATGAGATGGAATTGTATTAGTGCTAATTTATGTGGTTTCTTGTGCCCAGTAGGCGAAGCCTGAGTCCGATATCCCTGCGCCCGAGTCAGTTCCCATCGAGCGGGGTGAAGCGGAAGTCGGAGGCGGAGTCCCCGTTGGGGCTGGGGGCGACGCCTCCGAAACGAGTTCTCGCTGGGGGTCTTCTCATCCCACAGTCCCATCATACCCTTCTCAATAGGTGAGACACTGATCTTGTGCTGTTTACTTTGACCTGCTTCATATGCACTGTAAGTATAGGCATGATATGCAGTATAAGATGCTGCATATCATGCTTTTTTTGGTGTATCTTGAGCATGATTGCATTTTGCTTTAAAAGGTCAAAGTCTTAACTACTAAGAAGCTATACATTGTAGTTGATATAATTATTAAATACTTTCATGTTGTGATCCCAATAATCATGAAACATCATGAAAATCATGAAACATTATTTCATCATGTATGTCGTTTTCAGCCATCCTTTTCCTGGCTGCAAAGAGCATCTTAAATGGCTCAAAGAGGAGGTTTTTCTATAAATTTTCTTGAATTTTTTTTTATTTTTTATCTTGAACTTATCACTGTAGCCAAGACTTTTTTCCCTCTGAATCTGTTTCCTCGACAGCTTGAGTTCGAGCAGCACCCTGAGCCCCGCAGGTCAGTCGGTGAGCTCGGAATCCACATCTAGTCTGGACTCGCCCTCGCCGGGCTGCGCCTTCCGACCCGTCTCCGCCGAGTCGGCAGACGTTCACATGGCCGACTCGGGCGACTCGGCGGTCCACATGGCGGACTCGGGCGATTCCACGGGCACCGCCGATCCGTGCTTCCAAGTGATGGACTCCCAGTCCCAATCTCCTCAAAGCAGTGATGTCAGACTCTGATTTACCCAGCAGAGCTTTTATTTTTCTTTCTCTCTCTCTCTTCTCCGTTTCCTCAGCTCTGGTTCTGTTTGTTCACATCCCGGGAGACACGGTGTTACGTTACTGGTACTTTATTTGAAGCCCTTGTTATTTTCTGTGAAACATGGCCTGTGGTCTTGGCAATTGAGGTCATGGTTTATGTTCTGAAAGCAGTATTCAGAAAAGAATCCTTCTACATCAACAACTATTGGATTTTTTTTTCTCCTGTTTACTTTGGGATTTCCTCCAGGTTTTAGCCAATTTGGCATGGATAGAATCCGTTAGTCTTGCCAATTTGTGCATCTCAAGTTAAATATGTATCTTCTGGATGTGAGAGAGATGAGTGACAGGTAGGAAAGAAGAATCCACCGTGAGAAGGTAATCCACAAGGAGAGAGTCCAATGGTTTTTTAACACCAAATGCAAGGCCTGCGACTGAGGCACAATGACCTGCATGGACTGCAGGAAAATGAAACTCTGAAGTTGAATACTGATTTGGTTGCTACCATGAAAGAGAAGGCAATTGTCTGTGCCAGTGCTTCTCAACTGTGAGTGCTGGCCCATCTATCAGCATCTTGCCGGTGCAAGAAACGACCAATAAATCGAAAGCTCTTTGGACCATAAAATTTTACTGCAGTATTTAGCAATTTTCTATTTATTTGTCCGCCACTTACAATCACTTCCTCGTACATAGCTCATCACCATGGGGGAGTAACGCCTAGATATTTTGGCTTGGCCTCATTATTTACTGGATGGCCACAGGAGACAGGAAGAGCGCAGTTTTCGAGGTGGAATGCGGTGACTGATGTTTTAGTCCGGTTTGGGCGCAGTCTCCATCTTTGGAAGTACCTCGCCAAAGTGTCCAGGTCAGCGGTGAGGGTGTCGCCGATGGCGGAGAGTGCTGCACCCTGCGACGCGAGCGCAATGTCGTCGGCGTAGACAAACTTTCTGGAGGTTTTTTGCCGTAGGTCGCTCGTGTAGAGGTTAAAGAGCAACAGAGCAAGGACAGAACCTTGTGGCAGTCCGTTATTGAGTATACGGGGTCTGCTAACTTGTCCATTTAGGTGGACGCGGTATCTCCGGTCGCTTAACATGGCTGCTATGAGGCGAATCGTGCTGCGGCATCTGATGACTGTAG